GTGTGCTCGTTCTTCGCGAACAACAGTTACAGAATGCTGCGTTTTGTAAAGAAAACTTTGTTTTCGCTTGTCTGACATACAAAAATGTCCAGCGTTTTTGGAACGGGCTGGTCCATGAGTTCTATGGCTTGAAAGCTAGCCAAAGTTCATGCTAGTTCTACCCAGATGTTGAATAAATCAAGAATGTTCGTGAACAGAATTTCAAAGGGAAGCAAACAATAAGCAATTGGATAGTGAGGATACTCAACGGAGTGACGTCAGTAGTTAACTGATCTAAGCATAACCCTTGTGTGAAATATCCCGATTCTTTTATTTGTTTTCGTTGTGTTCAATACTGCTAGAATAGGCCCATATTGCAACAGGAAGCCTGAGTCGCTCTTTTTGGAGCGTTAAGTATTCTTTTCGAGTAGGTGCTCCAAGTATTTGAAGCTGTGCGCCTAAAATTTCGGCAGTGCGCCTAAAAATTTACACCTGGTCGCACAAGTGCTCCCAAAGCCAAAAATAAACTTTGAGCCCTGCTTTAATTGAGGAATGCAACATGTAGCATAATCTAGAACTGTCATTTTGTCTTTCAGTTTGTTCTATTTCAATACATACAGTGCCAGTTTGCAACGTACAGTGGAACCTCCTGTCAGCGACCACCCAAAATGTCAAGCCTAGGTGGTCACTTATGAGAGCTTAGACCATATTGGGTCAAAAGTTTGCCTCATTATCACATGGTAATTGCAGAGACTTACCCCAGGGTTTAAATGTTTTATTCATGTGAAAAGTTACTTTCAAGAAAAAATCTGGTACTTTCCGTCTCTTGTACCAGCCAGGAATGCAATAATGTTACAACACCTTATATCCAATTTGTGCTCTATTATCTGTCAAGTGGTCACTTAAGGTGATTCCCCAGTAAAAGAACCCGCCATAGATTTCCGAGGAAACTTGGTACGCTGTTGTGACAGGACAAGGAGATGTTAAAAACGTAGTCAAAAGAGGGGGTCATCTTGCTTGTTTTCACACCCCAATGCTGAGAAATACCATTATTTAGGTGACTTTTGGTAATCTGCGTGCACAACAAATAAGCTCGATTATTTTTCAGTGCAGCGTGTTATATCGCACAGAGTTTGACTTTCTTTGATTGTTTATTCATCTATGTCCCAGAAAAAAAATGTCTTCAACTACCCTGCATTTTTTATCCTTTAAAGGAAACATAATTTGGACATGCGCTGTTGGGCCTGTTACAGTATGTCTCCCTCTGTAGTATGTATTTCATTTGCCAAAAAAGGAAGCCATAGATTTCTGCCAATTATTTTCTCAGTTATTGAGGATATTGTTCCCATTGAAATTATGAAATAATAAGTGCGGGTAACCGTACTTGCTTAAGAGAAAAGGAGCATTTATCTCACTATCAAGCTTAGTTTGAGGGAAATCTGTTACGTTTCGTACGCGCTCACGCTCATGTGCATGCTAATGATGCGAAAATCGTGCATAGTAGGTATGTGCAATGCAATACTAAGGAATCACCTTAATACATGAGAGTTTAAAAACAAAAGAAAATTTCAAACTTTTAGCTCTTAAGTGGTCACAGTCGCTTACGAGAGGTGGTCGCTTTCAAGAGGTTCCAAATACAGTGATTCGACTTGGAAACGTTTGGTATTTTGGAAAACTGGTAAGGAGAGGTGGCCGCTTATGAGAGGTGGTGGCAAACAGAAGTTCTACTGTATTTGTTATTGAACAGTGTCCATCAATAATGTACATCAGTATGTAGACTACACAAGAATATTCTCACTGTACAAATATTCTCACCATGGAAAATTTGCATGATTCCAGTTAAGGTGAGGTAAAATCTATGTCAGGCCAAATGGCTGAAGCTTATCCCAGTTTCAGTAGCATGAAGTGGCTAAGAGTATTTCTACTTCCCCCTGAATGGGATCCTAGTCCATCACAGGGTTACCCTTACAGCATTTAACAAATTAGTGGGTACCCATTTGCACACCTGTGTGGAGAGAGCTACCATGAGAGTAAAGTGTCTTGCCTAAGATCACAATGCAATGACCCCGGCCAGGACTCAAACTTGGAGTGCTTAATCCAGAGTCTACTGCACCAACCATTAGGCCGCTGCTCCTCTGCAAGGGGCTGATTTCATTTCACTTGTAGACATGTTGATTGAAAGCTGTATGAAATGTTGAAGTTCCCTTGACAACATAACCTTTTCTGCTAGACAAAAGCTAATCCAGGAAATGGCGGCTCATCCAGGTGACAAACCAAGTGATGAAGAAAGAGAAAGCATCAAAGAAAAACACTCTAAGTTAACAAAAGAACTTTTAGAAGTCAAAAGCAAAGTTCATCATCTTGAAAAAGAAATCAAAGCTGTGCAGAAGGAAATTCTTGAAGCAGGTTGTAATATTTTTTTGTGTCTTTGTCTTGTTGAAACAGTGTATTTTATCTGAAGTTTGCCATGTTGGGAACAATTTTAAACGCTCTTTGACTAACAACTGGTACCTAGGGAAACAACATTGTCTGCTGCCCAAAGAACTTGTAGTTATTTTTTGGGTGAACATGTAAGTACATTATTTTTATTACTGTCCTTGTAAATGTTGTTAAACTAACTCTTTTGCAGAGGAAACTTACTCTGAAGGTGGTCGACAAATATCTGATCTCGCCAAAAGAACTACTTTGCTGAGTGCTCATTCCAAGCAATGCAAGCAGTTAGCAGAATTGTACAGAAGCTTGGCTAAACAGATCAATGACAAGATAACAATTTGTAGGGATGTTGCAAGGTGTGTAATACATACAACAGTATATAATTATTAACCAGTCGTATTTAACAGATACATTTTTTTGTAGACTTTCATCTGTACATATAATGCTGTACATACATGCACTTGTATAGAACAGTAATATGGTTTTTAAGACCGAAAGTGTAAAACGTTGTCCACAAGGACTTAATGTTTTACTTCCCTTTTTTGTTTCCTTTAGAAAGAAATCCATGGATCCAACATATTACACATCACAAGGAATCATTGCTGGAAGCTCACAGGCATTTACTACTGTTGAAGGACGATCAACTCCTACTGGGTTGGAATCAGCTTGTACTGTAAGTGTCAGGGAAAAGTAAACCTTGCCACAAATTGTGAAAAAAATGCTGTGCGAAAGTGCATGCCATGGTTCTAGTAAATTATTGCACTAGCTATAAATCTGCATTTTTTTTTCAGAAAGGAAGCAATCTCCCCTTTGAAAGAAATCTTTTCTAAATTCAAAGACTTAAATGCTTGGAGGTGTTGGGGGAAGTCAAATCGTATAATTAAATTTTATCAAATCATATATTATACTAACAGTACTCCTACAGTTGTATGTGAACACTTGGCCATGGCTTATGTTGTCGCAGCAGTCATCTTCCAACTTCTAATTGGGTGTCTTTAACTTATTAGCCTCTAGAATTGTGATTTGGAGCACTTCACCTTGTTAGTAACAATGTCTGTGATTTTGCTACTTGTACATGGATGTACATTCATGGGAATAAATGAAACATGAGCGATTGAATGATTATATAAAACATTTATGAATTGGTTGATTTTGTTATTATGTTGTTAAAAGCAACTGAGTGTTTTGTGTTTTTTTTTTCTTGCATCAGAGATCAGTTAGGGAATCGTGTGAAAGAATTGGTTCCTTTTTGTATGACGTGTGCAAGGCAGAGGAAGAAACTGGAAGGTGATGTAGTTTGTATGATTGTATGACTTATTCATAACATTTGAAACTGATCATCCCATCACATTGTACCAGTACACGTAGGCTCATAAGACCGTCACATTCTCAGTCCAATACTCTCAAGATGGGGTGGAAGAGTTGGAATGTGCATTCCAACCCAGGGCTGTGATTAAGGGCGGCAACCTGTAGCACCTGTTTACGGCTGAGTATGCTTGATTTTCCTTTGATGCTAGGGGTGAAATTGCCTGTTGTTGATAGAATTCACCCACAAGTATCAAAATTGCTACGGGTGTGGAGAACAAGGCTACAGCCGGACTAACAACTTAATGACAGCCCTGCAACTCTTCCACTCCATCTTGTTTCTCTCTTTTTCAGCAGTCTTTGTTCAAGTGGTATACTCATACAGTAGCATTTGAAATATTACTCAAAGTACAATGTAGTGGCATACAGGCTGGCCTGTTTACACTATTTGTGCACTTGCCAAGCTTAAAGACATAACAAGAACTTCACTACAAGTGTAGTTGATCTAGAGTGGTTACAAGTTGAAAAGGCCCAACTCATGGTCAGTTCTGAATTTGTTTGTATTAATAATTTTGTTAGAATTGATGACAGCAGTCAGAGAAAGGTTAAAGATCAGTTGTGGACTGGAGTAGAGGTTTGTTTTGTTTTGTAAATAGTCAGTATGTAAGTGTCTTGAAAATACAGTTTTGTAACTAGTAAGCATGTAAGTATGGTATGTTGAAAGTACATGTACTAGTTAATACACGCCTGTTGGAGAGGTGTTACAGGGTGCAAAGAAGAGTTAATTTTTGAGGCTTGCACTTCAGGCTATGGGAGGTTGAAAAATTAATGTAGGGTTTGTATGTGGCTTGATCCTTGAGTCATGATGAACTTAAGTGTCCAAGAGGTGTCTGCTTTGAGGAGTGGCAGAGGTTTGACTGTATCTTGTACATATCTTTTGGATGTTCCAGTAGAGTATCTTGTGGAGGTTCAACTGTATCTTGACACCCATGTGTAAATACTGAGTAGATTCACTAAATTTGTTGATGAACAATTAATTTTCTTCCAACACATCTTTAGAATATCTTGTCTCAGCACCTGGCAGATGACGTCCTCACCTCATTGTCTCGAATAGCACAGGACTCCGCCGTCAGCCTGCGGGAATTGTCTGCCAGAATTGACCTGAAGAAAGATGCCAGAGAACTCAAGTTAGTTTTTGGAATGATTTTGCAGTACTCATTGAGTGGTGCTTCATATGAAGTTTTCTACATGTATTTTGTTTCCTTTCATCAGGTTTAAATATGAAAACTCTGGCAAACTAACTGACACATCATCCCCACCTTCCCTACTGCAAAGTGTCCACCAGTTAATAGAGGTGAGTTGTAATCTTTTGTATTATCTGGGCCGGACTCTTGACTGTAAGATTAAGCAATGAACTGTTCACGGCCCTCTATTTTGTTATAATTTTCTTCAGTCGTTTAGCTTAGACTTGTAGAAAGAATCACTGGAGCACTAGACATTTAAGCACAAAAGTGAAAGCACAGTGAGGTGCAGTGTTGTGCAGAAGTAGAATGAGATTCTACTTCTCCAACATTGGTGCAACAACAACAGCAACTACAAAACAAACAAACAAACAAAAACATTGGTGTGGCACAACTATCTGCCATTCTCTACTTTAAGCCATCCAATTTTGAAGCAAGACAAAATGATTTGTCACTCTTTTTGACTTCGGCTTTTCTCCTCTGAGAGCGTCCCGTGCCCCCACGGTACTCTAGTCAGGGTTGCCATAGGTAAGGAAATGGTCAGGGGAAAAATAAAATCCTTCAAGGTCAGGAAAAAGTCAGGGAATTTTATTTTGAGTTAGGAAAAATTGACATTTTGAAGAAAAGGCAAGGAAATTTGAAATAACTTAACACGGCTGTTTTAATGTCTGAAGGCTGGAGGAAACATTCGGGTTCACTGTGATCTCAACAATATTTTTCCTTANGTGTGCTCGTTCTTCGCGAACAACAGTTACAGAATGCTGCGTTTTGTAAAGAAAACTTTGTTTTCGCTTGTCTGACATACAAAAATGTCCAGCGTTTTTGGAACGGGCTGGTCCATGAGTTCTATGGCTTGAAAGCTAGCCAAAGTTCATGCTAGTTCTACCCAGATGTTGAATAAATCAAGAATGTTCGTGAACAGAATTTCAAAGGGAAGCAAACAATAAGCAATTGGATAGTGAGGATACTCAACGGAGTGACGTCAGTAGTTAACTGATCTAAGCATAACCCTTGTGTGAAATATCCCGATTCTTTTATTTGTTTTCGTTGTGTTCAATACTGCTAGAATAGGCCCATATTGCAACAGGAAGCCTGAGTCGCTCTTTTTGGAGCGTTAAGTATTCTTTTCGAGTAGGTGCTCCAAGTATTTGAAGCTGTGCGCCTAAAATTTCGGCAGTGCGCCTAAAAATTTACACCTGGTCGCACAAGTGCTCCCAAAGCCAAAAATAAACTTTGAGCCCTGCTTTAATTGAGGAATGCAACATGTAGCATAATCTAGAACTGTCATTTTGTCTTTCAGTTTGTTCTATTTCAATACATACAGTGCCAGTTTGCAACGTACAGTGGAACCTCCTGTCAGCGACCACCCAAAATGTCAAGCCTAGGTGGTCACTTATGAGAGCTTAGACCATATTGGGTCAAAAGTTTGCCTCATTATCACATGGTAATTGCAGAGACTTACCCCAGGGTTTAAATGTTTTATTCATGTGAAAAGTTACTTTCAAGAAAAAATCTGGTACTTTCCGTCTCTTGTACCAGCCAGGAATGCAATAATGTTACAACACCTTATATCCAATTTGTGCTCTATTATCTGTCAAGTGGTCACTTAAGGTGATTCCCCAGTAAAAGAACCCGCCATAGATTTCCGAGGAAACTTGGTACGCTGTTGTGACAGGACAAGGAGATGTTAAAAACGTAGTCAAAAGAGGGGGTCATCTTGCTTGTTTTCACACCCCAATGCTGAGAAATACCATTATTTAGGTGACTTTTGGTAATCTGCGTGCACAACAAATAAGCTCGATTATTTTTCAGTGCAGCGTGTTATATCGCACAGAGTTTGACTTTCTTTGATTGTTTATTCATCTATGTCCCAGAAAAAAAATGTCTTCAACTACCCTGCATTTTTTATCCTTTAAAGGAAACATAATTTGGACATGCGCTGTTGGGCCTGTTACAGTATGTCTCCCTCTGTAGTATGTATTTCATTTGCCAAAAAAGGAAGCCATAGATTTCTGCCAATTATTTTCTCAGTTATTGAGGATATTGTTCCCATTGAAATTATGAAATAATAAGTGCGGGTAACCGTACTTGCTTAAGAGAAAAGGAGCATTTATCTCACTATCAAGCTTAGTTTGAGGGAAATCTGTTACGTTTCGTACGCGCTCACGCTCATGTGCATGCTAATGATGCGAAAATCGTGCATAGTAGGTATGTGCAATGCAATACTAAGGAATCACCTTAATACATGAGAGTTTAAAAACAAAAGAAAATTTCAAACTTTTAGCTCTTAAGTGGTCACAGTCGCTTACGAGAGGTGGTCGCTTTCAAGAGGTTCCAAATACAGTGATTCGACTTGGAAACGTTTGGTATTTTGGAAAACTGGTAAGGAGAGGTGGCCGCTTATGAGAGGTGGTGGCAAACAGAAGTTCTACTGTATTTGTTATTGAACAGTGTCCATCAATAATGTACATCAGTATGTAGACTACACAAGAATATTCTCACTGTACAAATATTCTCACCATGGAAAATTTGCATGATTCCAGTTAAGGTGAGGTAAAATCTATGTCAGGCCAAATGGCTGAAGCTTATCCCAGTTTCAGTAGCATGAAGTGGCTAAGAGTATTTCTACTTCCCCCTGAATGGGATCCTAGTCCATCACAGGGTTACCCTTACAGCATTTAACAAATTAGTGGGTACCCATTTGCACACCTGTGTGGAGAGAGCTACCATGAGAGTAAAGTGTCTTGCCTAAGATCACAATGCAATGACCCCGGCCAGGACTCAAACTTGGAGTGCTTAATCCAGAGTCTACTGCACCAACCATTAGGCCGCTGCTCCTCTGCAAGGGGCTGATTTCATTTCACTTGTAGACATGTTGATTGAAAGCTGTATGAAATGTTGAAGTTCCCTTGACAACATAACCTTTTCTGCTAGACAAAAGCTAATCCAGGAAATGGCGGCTCATCCAGGTGACAAACCAAGTGATGAAGAAAGAGAAAGCATCAAAGAAAAACACTCTAAGTTAACAAAAGAACTTTTAGAAGTCAAAAGCAAAGTTCATCATCTTGAAAAAGAAATCAAAGCTGTGCAGAAGGAAATTCTTGAAGCAGGTTGTAATATTTTTTTGTGTCTTTGTCTTGTTGAAACAGTGTATTTTATCTGAAGTTTGCCATGTTGGGAACAATTTTAAACGCTCTTTGACTAACAACTGGTACCTAGGGAAACAACATTGTCTGCTGCCCAAAGAACTTGTAGTTATTTTTTGGGTGAACATGTAAGTACATTATTTTTATTACTGTCCTTGTAAATGTTGTTAAACTAACTCTTTTGCAGAGGAAACTTACTCTGAAGGTGGTCGACAAATATCTGATCTCGCCAAAAGAACTACTTTGCTGAGTGCTCATTCCAAGCAATGCAAGCAGTTAGCAGAATTGTACAGAAGCTTGGCTAAACAGATCAATGACAAGATAACAATTTGTAGGGATGTTGCAAGGTGTGTAATACATACAACAGTATATAATTATTAACCAGTCGTATTTAACAGATACATTTTTTTGTAGACTTTCATCTGTACATATAATGCTGTACATACATGCACTTGTATAGAACAGTAATATGGTTTTTAAGACCGAAAGTGTAAAACGTTGTCCACAAGGACTTAATGTTTTACTTCCCTTTTTTGTTTCCTTTAGAAAGAAATCCATGGATCCAACATATTACACATCACAAGGAATCATTGCTGGAAGCTCACAGGCATTTACTACTGTTGAAGGACGATCAACTCCTACTGGGTTGGAATCAGCTTGTACTGTAAGTGTCAGGGAAAAGTAAACCTTGCCACAAATTGTGAAAAAAATGCTGTGCGAAAGTGCATGCCATGGTTCTAGTAAATTATTGCACTAGCTATAAATCTGCATTTTTTTTTCAGAAAGGAAGCAATCTCCCCTTTGAAAGAAATCTTTTCTAAATTCAAAGACTTAAATGCTTGGAGGTGTTGGGGGAAGTCAAATCGTATAATTAAATTTTATCAAATCATATATTATACTAACAGTACTCCTACAGTTGTATGTGAACACTTGGCCATGGCTTATGTTGTCGCAGCAGTCATCTTCCAACTTCTAATTGGGTGTCTTTAACTTATTAGCCTCTAGAATTGTGATTTGGAGCACTTCACCTTGTTAGTAACAATGTCTGTGATTTTGCTACTTGTACATGGATGTACATTCATGGGAATAAATGAAACATGAGCGATTGAATGATTATATAAAACATTTATGAATTGGTTGATTTTGTTATTATGTTGTTAAAAGCAACTGAGTGTTTTGTGTTTTTTTTTTCTTGCATCAGAGATCAGTTAGGGAATCGTGTGAAAGAATTGGTTCCTTTTTGTATGACGTGTGCAAGGCAGAGGAAGAAACTGGAAGGTGATGTAGTTTGTATGATTGTATGACTTATTCATAACATTTGAAACTGATCATCCCATCACATTGTACCAGTACACGTAGGCTCATAAGACCGTCACATTCTCAGTCCAATACTCTCAAGATGGGGTGGAAGAGTTGGAATGTGCATTCCAACCCAGGGCTGTGATTAAGGGCGGCAACCTGTAGCACCTGTTTACGGCTGAGTATGCTTGATTTTCCTTTGATGCTAGGGGTGAAATTGCCTGTTGTTGATAGAATTCACCCACAAGTATCAAAATTGCTACGGGTGTGGAGAACAAGGCTACAGCCGGACTAACAACTTAATGACAGCCCTGCAACTCTTCCACTCCATCTTGTTTCTCTCTTTTTCAGCAGTCTTTGTTCAAGTGGTATACTCATACAGTAGCATTTGAAATATTACTCAAAGTACAATGTAGTGGCATACAGGCTGGCCTGTTTACACTATTTGTGCACTTGCCAAGCTTAAAGACATAACAAGAACTTCACTACAAGTGTAGTTGATCTAGAGTGGTTACAAGTTGAAAAGGCCCAACTCATGGTCAGTTCTGAATTTGTTTGTATTAATAATTTTGTTAGAATTGATGACAGCAGTCAGAGAAAGGTTAAAGATCAGTTGTGGACTGGAGTAGAGGTTTGTTTTGTTTTGTAAATAGTCAGTATGTAAGTGTCTTGAAAATACAGTTTTGTAACTAGTAAGCATGTAAGTATGGTATGTTGAAAGTACATGTACTAGTTAATACACGCCTGTTGGAGAGGTGTTACAGGGTGCAAAGAAGAGTTAATTTTTGAGGCTTGCACTTCAGGCTATGGGAGGTTGAAAAATTAATGTAGGGTTTGTATGTGGCTTGATCCTTGAGTCATGATGAACTTAAGTGTCCAAGAGGTGTCTGCTTTGAGGAGTGGCAGAGGTTTGACTGTATCTTGTACATATCTTTTGGATGTTCCAGTAGAGTATCTTGTGGAGGTTCAACTGTATCTTGACACCCATGTGTAAATACTGAGTAGATTCACTAAATTTGTTGATGAACAATTAATTTTCTTCCAACACATCTTTAGAATATCTTGTCTCAGCACCTGGCAGATGACGTCCTCACCTCATTGTCTCGAATAGCACAGGACTCCGCCGTCAGCCTGCGGGAATTGTCTGCCAGAATTGACCTGAAGAAAGATGCCAGAGAACTCAAGTTAGTTTTTGGAATGATTTTGCAGTACTCATTGAGTGGTGCTTCATATGAAGTTTTCTACATGTATTTTGTTTCCTTTCATCAGGTTTAAATATGAAAACTCTGGCAAACTAACTGACACATCATCCCCACCTTCCTTACTGCAAAGTGTTCACCAGTTAATAGAGGTGAGTCGTAATCTTTTGTATTATCTGGGCCAGACTCTTGACTGTAGGATTAAGCTATGAACTGTTCACGACCCTCTATTTTGTAATAATTTTCTTCAATCGTTTAGCTTAGACTTTTAGAAAGACTCACTGGAGCACTAGACATTTAAGCACAAAAGTGGAAGCACAGTGAGGTGCAGTGTTGTGCAGAGGTAGAATGAGATTCTACTTCTCCAACATTGGTGCAACAATGACAACAACAAAACAAACAAACAAAAACATTGCTGCAACAATATTAATGTGCCCACTATTGGTGATGTTGTGCACTGTGGTGTGGCACAACTATCTGCCATTCTCTACTTTAAGCCATCCAATTTTGAAGCGAGACAAAATGATTTGTCACTCTTTTTGACTCCGGCTTTTCTCCTCTGAGAGCGTCTCATGCCCCCACGGTACTCTAGTCAGGGTTGCCATAGGTTAGGAAATTGGCAGGGAAAAAATAAAATCCTTCAAGGTCAGGAAAAAGTCAGGGAATTTTATTTTGAGTTAGGGAAAATTGACATTTTGAAGAAAAGGCAGGGAAATTTGAAATAACAGCATGGCTGTTTTAATGTCTGAAGGCTGGAGGAAACATTCGGGTTCACTGTGATCTCAACAATATTTTTCCTTAATGAAGACGGAAAATTTGATGAAAAGTTCTCAGTCTTAATGAATGAGTGGGAAGGACGGATATAAGTTGAGGCCAGAAGCTGCTATTAGATCTGACATTTTGTATTAATTTTATTTTGTCACAGAAATTTGATATTTTTATCAGGGACAAGTCAGGGAATTTTGAAAAGTGATGTCTGTGGCAACCATGTTAGTGTGCGATGTGTTTCACTCACTGTTTCTCTCATATTCTTTCTTTGCATAAAAGGAAACTGGGATACGAAGTAATGATAAAAGAGCATACACTAAATACATGCTTCATTAAATCAAGGGTCTTGTCTAACTTAATAGTACATTTCATATGTATTTATGTAGCCAATCAATCACGTAAAAAATGAATAAATAAATAAACAAACAAACAAACAAATAAATAAATAAATAGACGAAACTTGATTTTGTTATTTTGTTCTGTTTCTAGGAGGGTCAAGCTGCTCATTTTCAAAGGTTTATTGAGTCAGAAAAAGGTCTCAATGAAGCCTGGAGGTCACGGCAAAGACTGCAAACACTACAGCAACAATTGGAGGCTAATCTAGTGTCAAGTCATCAAGACTCTCCTGGAAATATTGAGTTGGCAAGGTACACATAATGATACATGTGTGAAGGTGAGGCGGCCTCATGGTTAGTGCGCTCGCCTCCGGATCATGGGGTCTGCATTCAAAAAATTGGTACCGGTGAATTTAATGCTGGGAGTAGTCCTGCAATGGACTAGCAATTAAGCACCCCATCCAGGGGGGAGTAGAAATACTGACTCCTAGCCGCTTTATGCTACAGAAACCGGGATAAGCTCCAGCCTGATGGGGCACTTGACTCAGACAATGTATGCAGACTTTACCATAGGTATACAGAAGAGAAGAGAGAACGTATAAACAGAAATGTTGTGTGTTTTGTGCTGTAGATAGCAAAATGAAATTAAATACTGGTTTTGTCTGATGTGTATTCTTGACTTCGAGTACATGTATCGTCAAAAATGTCAAACTTACATAAATACAGTAATTCAAGAACTTTTGGCTCACCTGATGCATTCCAAAAGCATACCAAGAATTAGCGACATCAGCTTTTGGTTAGCATCGCTGAACCTGTGAGCTAACTCATTTTCACTTTGCTCTGACGGAAGGCTACGCTCAAAACGTCAGCTTGACAAACCTACATGTACGGCGGTTAGTGTATCTTTGTTCCAAATTGCTAAGTAATTTGTATACCGCTTGAGATTAACCGAACCCTATATATGAAGTACATGTTTAAAAGAAAGCGAATTAACTTGTTATTAGTAACCTAGATCCGAATCGATCCTGCTGTAATCCTGTAACAACTGAGTCCTGAAAATCTTTCTTTCATTTCTGCAGAGTTTTACTTCATAATGAACTGGAACTGACAGCATCCAAGGCATCACTGGAGTGCATGAAAGCAGAAATGGCTGAGCTGACCAAATCCAGGAACGAAAGACAAAGAGCAAAGGAATTGCTGCTCATGAAACACAAGAAGATTGAAGATTTTGAGAAACTTGCTGTAAGATTTGTGTTATTTTATTCAAAAGGCGTGCCGCATTATCTTGGGTGAATCTGTGATATAATCGTAAATTCTTATCGACCGAGAGCGAGGTCTTTACGAGAAAATCTCAGACTGAGACCTTGCTGTATTGACCGAGGATAGCAAGGTAAATACGGCAAGGCTGAGGTTTGACATTTTCCTGTAAAGACTGAACGTTCGAGGTTTAAAATAAGTTTTTTTGTTATTACGGGGGAATAAAGCCCAAGAATTAGCCAATCAGAGGGCGCTACAAACAAAAGCATATAACAATTATGTGTATCCACTGGACTTCACTGTCTCAAATTAAAGTTGTAAATACAAGTTTAAAACTGCAGAAAAGGAAAAGACAAATGCTGTTACATGCACTACATGTAGATAGCCAAAATGGATAACTATGATATCGAAATTGAAGAAGATTAAATGAATTGCATTTACATGTAGCAAATTTCATTTCCTTTAGGGAAACAGAGTGGAAGTGTTTAGTGCTAAGGCTTCAAAGTTCTGACTCATTAATCCTACAATATATAGACGCATTTTCATCTTTTTCTTTACTGAAAGTGAAGTGTAAACTAAGTTACCTTAATCTATCGTTATTACTAATATAGTTTGTCTTGTTTTAGCAAACCAAACAATCCCTCATTCAAGCTCTTGTCAAGCAGAATTCCAATGCCAGAGCAAGAGTTGAGAAACAGAAACACGAGGTATAGATGTCTCTAATTAGGAAAAAAAATTCTTCAAGGTCAGGGAATAGTCAGGAGATTTTATTTTGAGTCAGGGAAAATTGACATTTTAAGGAAAGGTCGGGGAAAATTGAAATGATTTAACACGGATGAAAATGCCACTGGAAGCTGGCAGATACACTTTGAGTCACTGTGGTCTTAACGACGTTTTTCGTTAATGAAGAGGGAACATTTGTTGAAATATTATCAGTCGTAACGAATGGGTGGAAAGGAAGGCTGTAAGTTGAAGCATTTATATGGCCAGGGAAATTTTATTTTAAAAAGGGAAAGTCGGCGAGTTTTAAAAGTGACGTCTGTGGTAACGACGGTAGAATCTTCTCACAGTTTCCTGCATTGGTACTTTTAGCCTTGTTTGTTTAAACCAACACGTTCTGTTTTGCTTTAAGCTCTTACAGTACATACAGCAGAGGATCTGCTCGCATGAGGTTCAGGTGGTTGCCATGGCTAAACAGTTACAGAACAGTATCGCACAGGAGGTGGATAAGTTTGCTGCACTACCCCTGGATCAATTCCAATACTCAGGTGTAGACAGGTCAGTAATATAACTCTGACATGAAAACACATTCGAGTTCCCCTGCGTTACCAGCAGCCGCTTAATATTGACACCTCTTGGTTCCTCGGTTCTGGCGGGAATCCCTCGATATATTTTCTCGTAATGTCCATTTTTCCATTGGAAAACTGACACAGTGGAACCCCGTTAATCCGGTCACCAACGGGTGACAAACATGTGGCCGTAAAACAGGGTGGCCGTATTAGATGGGCGCTTGGAATAAGAAAATGACTGACTGACCTTTTGATCAGGCCAGAATAAAATGGCAGTATTAACGAGGTGGCTGTATCAACGGTGTGGCCGGATGTAACCTCAAAATAAGCAGAGACGACGGCGACACCAAGGAAAACGCCTTGTAAAAACCGGATTTATTTTTAAAATTTTACCTTTGAATTTTACAATTATCTAGACCTATTAAGTGCGCCGATCGATCTATAAAACCTGCTCAAACCTGATATGTAATGGCAGAGCTTGATTTCAAAAGGAAATACTGTACGGGAAATTACTCGTCGTGGCTCACGTTGTGCAAAATACGCAGAACTTGGTCATGACACGTTTTGTTTCGTAGAGAACGGCTACGAAATGTTCAAAGATTGTTAACTTGCGTGCGTAGCCATTGTTCTCGTTGCCGTCGTGTTTTTTAATTAATTTATTTTTTTAAATTCACGTTACTCTATTGTCGTCGTTGTATGCTTCATGCTACATGAAAACAAAGCAAGGCCACGATGGACTGGTACGAGTTGCTTTGTTTTTCAATTCCCACTCCCAGCATGGCTGATTTTGTACCACGTGACCGGGTCGTGCAAAGAGGGTGTTGTGTCACCTCTATTGCCTTCTTCCCCCCACCCCAGCTCAATCCGTCACCTTACCCAGTGTCTGACGACTAAATTTCAAGTCCTTTGTTGTCATCACGTTTTGTTTACACTCCTCAGTACAAGAAGAGTTCCAGTCAGCGAGTTATCAATCAATCGTTTAGAAAATCTCTCAACAAGTCCAGGGGGCGGTACAATAAGAGCTGTGTTAGATGGTCTGGACTTCCCAGCCTACAAGGTAAGGATGCTATGCTATTGTTTAGGCGAGGTACAGGGAAGGTGAATCCTGTCGCATTCTTAAGAATTGCATCATCGAGATTCATCCATACCAATGCTTAAAGGAGCTACGTCACAGTTTGCGCGTGTTGCAAAGTTTATCCTAAATTTGTCAAGTTCTTCGTGTTATCCATGTTAATCTTCTCTATTCTTAATCGCCCTTGTTCCTTTATGGTTTACTATTATCTGTGTAGTGTTTTTCTAACTTATTAAACTTTTATTTTCAGGTTTCCTTCAATTTAAAGGCAATTTTATATTTTTCCGAAAGAAAAACTCAAAATACCATGACTGAGCTCCTTTAAAATTCTGAAGCGCGAAGCAACACGGAGTAATCGGGTCGAAAGTCTAGCTGGTAAAACCCCCTCCCCCTTCACACCTAACCGCATTTTGTCAGTTTTCTCCAAATAAAAGTGATTTTCATTGCCAGTGCTTTTTTTTTTGGTGATTTTGGGAGTTGCGACATCAAAACTGGAAAACTGAAGATATTAACAAAAAACCTCACTGAAACGTTGTAAACGAGAAATCAATATTCTTGCTTGACCTTGATTAGTTCACTCGTACCTCGAACAGCCTGGCCCTTACCATGCACAAAGTGGTGCTGTGAGAGCTGAGTGTCTTCCAATACAGCAACACATTATCCTCTGCCAGTGCTGGAACCCGCACCTTTCAATCTGAACTTTAATACCATTTACCGCGCCTCCCGTTGCACTCACTGGCTACGTAGGTTCAGCGAACGAGAAACTTTTTCGATCGGAATACGTGAACACTTATGCTCTGACAACTTAACGACTGTTATTTAAGATATATATATTTTTTTAGTTGCACTAACCAATAAGTAAAGTATTGTCTACGTTTCCGTGGTGATGATTTGAGTAGCGCTAGAAAATCGTGTTGTTTTCGCCTCTTTCAGGCTCCTGAAGACTTGCTGTCGACGACCATGAAGTTGAAAGAGAAAGGTAAGATCGTGATTTAGTTTATTTTCCGTGGAACTGTTATGATTTTTAAACTGATGATAGAAATTTTTTATTAAAGTTGACGACACAAGATCCCTCGTACGGTCACGTGATGGTGCAGTTTGTGAGGTGGATGGTGACAGATCGTGCGAGAGAATGGTCGCGCATTTGAATGGTTTGAGACGGGAGGTCACTGAGCAGGACCGCGCACAACTCGATTACATCATGCCGCTGGTACAGAACGGGCTCAATAAAACCACCAAAGCTTTGTCAGATTGCATTTCTGTCAAGGATATCGTGAGCTCATGGTATGGACGTCTTTTGTTTCTGGTATCAATAACAATCGATATTTCTCAGTATTATTTCTTTGACTGGAGCAGTAGCCGGTTTTTACAAAGTTTGTTTATCACTTGCATTATCTATTTGACAACAGTTACGTTTTCTGTATTTTTCTTAGGTGGGAGCAACCCGCACAGTTCGTTACACCCTGGGTCAAGTTGGATGACATGAACATGAGACAGTGGACAGACCAGTGGACACTGTCCGCTACTCGCTTGAGGCAGTTACAGATGAGCCACTGACACACAGACACTGATACTGGTCACATCCCCAACTAGAGACAATTATGATGAATTAGAGCACAGAGACACTCACTGAGACAGTGCAGGCCTTGTGTCATTTATAATTAAGTGAAAGAGTTGCGGATGAGTTACGTACACATAGACACTCGCGTGGGACAGAGGACCCCGTTAGTCACTAGCGTAAGACAGTTGCAGATGAACTGCCTCGCAGAAAAACTCGCATGAGACAGTAGAATTTGTCTGCGACTCATTTGAGACAGCGATGGATTGGTCACTGGCACACAGACACTCGCATGAGAGTGCGGGCACTTTTCAATAACCGCTCGAGACGGTTACGTTTAAACCAAAGACACAGCGGTCCCTTCTCCCCCATTTAAAATTCAGACGATTCCCGCGCGCTCCCCCCTCCCTTCTGTTTTTCCCAGAAAGTCTAAATAATGTGAAGAACGCTTCATTTTCCTCTTCAGTCTACAGACGCTCTACATTAATATGCAAACTGTTAGTGGCACAAACTGTTCTACTAAAAGCCCCTATGAATAGACTGTCAATGTACAGCTTAGTCGTGCGCGGCGCGTAAGCGGAAAGCGAGAGGCATTCTCAGCAGTGGACAAACTCTCGAGTCCGTCGGGGATAGCATCTTTTAACGACTCGCGCGGCCTCCACTCGCGAGCCAACCTGTACGCACGCAACTTAAATTGCACGTAGGGAGAATCATTTGTAACTAACTCGAGCATCCTAAAAGAGATTTGGGTGGAAATAGTGTCTGTGTAACTACAATTATAATTTTCATTTAGAAAAGAGGTATGGTAGTTATCTTAGAAGCCTAAAACACCATTTCCCCTCTCCAGCTGTCTCAGAATACGAAGGAAAAGAAGACGAAGGTAGCTTTATTTTATAACAATGGGGTGCAAGTAGTCGAACATGACACGCTCCCGTCTGTCCTAACACCTTTAGGCATTTACGACTATTTACCTTCCATGGAATGCATTTTCAGGAAGGTACGTGATACTCGTAGTTTGTTGTTTGTGTGAAAGAGAAACTAATGCTTTATCCGCTTGGCAATCGGAAAATACCGTCATTGGCTGAAGTGGCCATAAAATCGAAGCTGATACGAGTGACATTTCAAAACAGAACATTCTACTGATTTCCGATCCTAAAGTGCCTTTCTAGACGACACCGGAAGTCGTGTCTGCTGAAGCTCTTATCTTTCTATCATTTCTGTCATCGTGAGTGAGGTGATAAATCATCCGTACAATGCCAGTCTGGACCACACTTAACAAATGTTTTTCCCAAGCATAAATCACTGATCCAATTGAGGTCTTCGCATCTGAAGCGTTTGAAATTATGTTTCAAAGTACGGAAATGTTTACACGAGAGTCGGATGTTATTTTCGATCTCCGTAGGACTCCTTACTTCCGAAATATGACATGGCAAATAGATGTCTTGGTGTAAAGGTCCTTGCCTTGCTTTCGTTCGCAGCCTCTCTTGAAGGCTGGGGCGTTCTAGTCTGCCTGCCAGACGTTCAAAGGGAAAGGGGAGGGAAAAGCCCTGAGGGGGATGTAGGGGAACAGGGTTTCCCTCCCTCTCCCACCGATCGCGTTTTGAACAGTTTCGCCTTTGCATTGAAAAGTTAACTTTGAAAAGGGCTATTATTCCCGGCCTGCGTTTATTGCACACGATCTTTTACGCCCCCTGTCACTCTTGGCAACATCTCCCCGTCTTAGCGGTCTTGCCGCTGGTCGAGGGGACGCGGGCACTGGGTACAGCATTGACAACAGACCCTGTCGACGACACGGCGGCCATTTTGAATTCTGTTATTTCANCTGACAGCATCCAAGGCATCACTGGAGTGCATGAAAGCAGAAATGGCTGAGCTGACCAAATCCAGGAACGAAAGACAAAGAGCAAAGGAATTGCTGCTCATGAAACACAAGAAGATTGAAGATTTTGAGAAACTTGCTGTAAGATTTGTGTTATTTTATTCAAAAGGCGTGCCGCATTATCTTGGGTGAATCTGTGATATAATCGTAAATTCTTATCGACCGAGAGCGAGGTCTTTACGAGAAAATCTCAGACTGAGACCTTGCTGTATTGACCGAGGATAGCAAGGTAAATACGGCAAGGCTGAGGTTTGACATTTTCCTGTAAAGACTGAACGTTCGAGGTTTAAAATAAGTTTTTTTGTTATTACGGGGGAATAAAGCCCAAGAATTAGCCAATCAGAGGGCGCTACAAACAAAAGCATATAACAATTATGTGTATCCACTGGACTTCACTGTCTCAAATTAAAGTTGTAAATACAAGTTTAAAACTGCAGAAAAGGAAAAGACAAATGCTGTTACATGCACTACATGTAGATAGCCAAAATGGATAACTATGATATCGAAATTGAAGAAGATTAAATGAATTGCATTTACTTGTAGCAAATTTCATTTCCTTTAGGGAAACAGAGTGGAAGTGTTTAGTGCTAAGGCTTCAAAGTTCTGACTCATTAATCGTACAATATATAGACGCGTTTTCATCTTTTTCTTTACTGAAAGTGAAGTGTAAACTAAGTTACCTTAATCTTTCTTTATTACTAATATAGTTTGTCTTGTTTCAGCAAACCAAGCAATCCCTCATTCAAGCTCTTGTCAAGCAGAATTCCAATGCCAGAGCAAGGGTTGAGAAACAGAAACACGAGGTATAGATGTCTCTAATTAGGAAAACAAAATTCTTCAAGGTCAGGGAATAGTCAGGAGATTTTATTTTGAGTCAGAGAAAGTTGACATGTTAAGGAAAGGTCGGGGAAAATTGAAATGATTGAACACGGCTGAAAAATGCCATTGAAAGCTGGCAGATACACTTTGAGTCACTGTGATCTCAACGACGTTTTTCGTTAATGAAGAGGAAACATTTGTTGAAATATTATCAGTCATATTGAATGGTTGGAAAGGAAGGCTGTAAGTTGAGGCATTTATATGGCCAGGGAAATTTTATTTTTATCAGGGAAAGTCGGCGAGTTTTAAAAGTGACGTCTGCGGTAACGACGGTTCAATCTTCTCACAGTTTCCTGCATTGGTACTTTTAGCCTTGTTTGTTTAAACCAACACGTTCTGTTTTGCTTTAAGCTCTTACAGTACATACAGCAGAGGATCTGCTCGCATGAGGTTCAGGTGGTTGCCATGGCTAAACAGTTACAGAACAGTATCGCACAGGAGGTGGATAAGTTTGCTGCACTACCCCTGGATCAATTCCAATACTCAGGTGTAGACAGGTCAGTAATATAACTCTGACATGAAAACACATTCGAGTTCCCCTGCGTTACCAGCAGCCGCTTAATATTGACACCTCTTGGTTCCTCGGTTCTGGCGGGAATCCCTCGATATATTTTCTCGTAATGTCCATTTTTCCATTGGAAAACTGACACAGTGGAACCCCGTTAATCCGGTCACCAACGGGTGACAAACATGTGGCCGTAAAACAGGGTGGCCGTATTAGATGGGCGCTTGGAATAAGAAAATGACTGACTGACCTTTTGATCAGGCCAGAATAAAATGGCAGTATTAACGAGGTGGCTGTATCAACGGTGTGGCCGGATGTAACCTCAAAATAAGCAGAGACGACGGCGACACCAAGGAAAACGCCTTGTAAAAACCGGATTTATTTTTAAAATTTTACCTTTGAATTTTACAATTATCTAGACCTATTAAGTGCGCCGATCGATCTATAAAACCTGCTCAAACCTGATATGTAATGGCAGAGCTTGATTTCAAAAGGAAATACTGTACGGGAAATTACTCGTCGTGGCTCACGTTGTGCAAAATACGCAGAACTTGGTCATGACACGTTTTGTTTCGTAGAGAACGGCTACGAAATGTTCAAAGATTGTTAACTTGCGTGCGTAGCCATTGTTCTCGTTGCCGTCGTGTTTTTTAATTAATTTATTTTTTTAAATTCACGTTACTCTATTGTCGTCGTTGTATGCTTCATGCTACATGAAAACAAAGCAAGGCCACGATGGACTGGTACGAGTTGCTTTGTTTTTCAATTCCCACTCCCAGCATGGCTGATTTTGTACCACGTGACCGGGTCGTGCAAAGAGGGTGTTGTGTCACCTCTATTGCCTTCTTCCCCCCACCCCAGCTCAATCCGTCACCTTACCCAGTGTCTGACGACTAAATTTCAAGTCCTTTGTTGTCATCACGTTTTGTTTACACTCCTCAGTACAAGAAGAGTTCCAGTCAGCGAGTTATCAATCAATCGTTTAGAAAATCTCTCAACAAGTCCAGGGGGCGGTACAATAAGAGCTGTGTTAGATGGTCTGGACTTCCCAGCCTACAAGGTAAGGATGCTATGCTATTGTTTAGGCGAGGTACAGGGAAGGTGAATCCTGTCGCATTCTTAAGAATTGCATCATCGAGATTCATCCATACCAATGCTTAAAGGAGCTACGTCACAGTTTGCGCGTGTTGCAAAGTTTATCCTAAATTTGTCAAGTTCTTCGTGTTATCCATGTTAATCTTCTCTATTCTTAATCGCCCTTGTTCCTTTATGGTTTACTATTATCTGTGTAGTGTTTTTCTAACTTATTAAACTTTTATTTTCAGGTTTCCTTCAATTTAAAGGCAATTTTATATTTTTCCGAAAGAAAAACTCAAAATACCATGACTGAGCTCCTTTAAAATTCTGAAGCGCGAAGCAACACGGAGTAATCGGGTCGAAAGTCTAGCTGGTAAAACCCCCTCCCCCTTCACACCTAACCGCATTTTGTCAGTTTTCTCCAAATAAAAGTGATTTTCATTGCCAGTGCTTTTTTTTTTGGTGATTTTGGGAGTTGCGACATCAAAACTGGAAAACTGAAGATATTAACAAAAAACCTCACTGAAACGTTGTAAACGAGAAATCAATATTCTTGCTTGACCTTGATTAGTTCACTCGTACCTCGAACAGCCTGGCCCTTACCATGCACAAAGTGGTGCTGTGAGAGCTGAGTGTCTTCCAATACAGCAACACATTATCCTCTGCCAGTGCTGGAACCCGCACCTTTCAATCTGAACTTTAATACCATTTACCGCGCCTCCCGTTGCACTCACTGGCTACGTAGGTTCAGCGAACGAGAAACTTTTTCGATCGGAATACGTGAACACTTATGCTCTGACAACTTAACGACTGTTATTTAAGATATATATATTTTTTTAGTTGCACTAACCAATAAGTAAAGTATTGTCTACGTTTCCGTGGTGATGATTTGAGTAGCGCTAGAAAATCGTGTTGTTTTCGCCTCTTTCAGGCTCCTGAAGACTTGCTGTCGACGACCATGAAGTTGAAAGAGAAAGGTAAGATCGTGATTTAGTTTATTTTCCGTGGAACTGTTATGATTTTTAAACTGATGATAGAAATTTTTTATTAAAGTTGACGACACAAGATCCCTCGTACGGTCACGTGATGGTGCAGTTTGTGAGGTGGATGGTGACAGATCGTGCGAGAGAATGGTCGCGCATTTGAATGGTTTGAGACGGGAGGTCACTGAGCAGGACCGCGCACAACTCGATTACATCATGCCGCTGGTACAGAACGGGCTCAATAAAACCACCAAAGCTTTGTCAGATTGCATTTCTGTCAAGGATATCGTGAGCTCATGGTATGGACGTCTTTTGTTTCTGGTATCAATAACAATCGATATTTCTCAGTATTATTTCTTTGACTGGAGCAGTAGCCGGTTTTTACAAAGTTTGTTTATCACTTGCATTATCTATTTGACAACAGTTACGTTTTCTGTATTTTTCTTAGGTGGGAGCAACCCGCACAGTTCGTTACACCCTGGGTCAAGTTGGATGACATGAACATGAGACAGTGGACAGACCAGTGGACACTGTCCGCTACTCGCTTGAGGCAGTTACAGATGAGCCACTGACACACAGACACTGATACTGGTCACATCCCCAACTAGAGACAATTATGATGAATTAGAGCACAGAGACACTCACTGAGACAGTGCAGGCCTTGTGTCATTTATAATTAAGTGAAAGAGTTGCGGATGAGTTACGTACACATAGACACTCGCGTGGGACAGAGGACCCCGTTAGTCACTAGCGTAAGACAGTTGCAGATGAACTGCCTCGCAGAAAAACTCGCATGAGACAGTAGAATTTGTCTGCGACTCATTTGAGACAGCGATGGATTGGTCACTGGCACACAGACACTCGCATGAGAGTGCGGGCACTTTTCAATAACCGCTCGAGACGGTTACGTTTAAACCAAAGACACAGCGGTCCCTTCTCCCCCATTTAAAATTCAGACGATTCCCGCGCGCTCCCCCCTCCCTTCTGTTTTTCCCAGAAAGTCTAAATAATGTGAAGAACGCTTCATTTTCCTCTTCAGTCTACAGACGCTCTACATTAATATGCAAACTGTTAGTGGCACAAACTGTTCTACTAAAAGCCCCTATGAATAGACTGTCAATGTACAGCTTAGTCGTGCGCGGCGCGTAAGCGGAAAGCGAGAGGCATTCTCAGCAGTGGACAAACTCTCGAGTCCGTCGGGGATAGCATCTTTTAACGACTCGCGCGGCCTCCACTCGCGAGCCAACCTGTACGCACGCAACTTAAATTGCACGTAGGGAGAATCATTTGTAACTAACTCGAGCATCCTAAAAGAGATTTGGGTGGAAATAGTGTCTGTGTAACTACAATTATAATTTTCATTTAGAAAAGAGGTATGGTAGTTATCTTAGAAGCCTAAAACACCATTTCCCCTCTCCAGCTGTCTCAGAATACGAAGGAAAAGAAGACGAAGGTAGCTTTATTTTATAACAATGGGGTGCAAGTAGTCGAACATGACACGCTCCCGTCTGTCCTAACACCTTTAGGCATTTACGACTATTTACCTTCCATGGAATGCATTTTCAGGAAGGTACGTGATACTCGTAGTTTGTTGTTTGTGTGAAAGAGAAACTAATGCTTTATCCGCTTGGCAATCGGAAAATACCGTCATTGGCTGAAGTGGCCATAAAATCGAAGCTGATACGAGTGACATTTCAAAACAGAACATTCTACTGATTTCCGATCCTAAAGTGCCTTTCTAGACGACACCGGAAGTCGTGTCTGCTGAAGCTCTTATCTTTCTATCATTTCTGTCATCGTGAGTGAGGTGATAAATCATCCGTACAATGCCAGTCTGGACCACACTTAACAAATGTTTTTCCCAAGCATAAATCACTGATCCAATTGAGGTCTTCGCATCTGAAGCGTTTGAAATTATGTTTCAAAGTACGGAAATGTTTACACGAGAGTCGGATGTTATTTTCGATCTCCGTAGGACTCCTTACTTCCGAAATATGACATGGCAAATAGATGTCTTGGTGTAAAGGTCCTTGCCTTGCTTTCGTTCGCAGCCTCTCTTGAAGGCTGGGGCGTTCTAGTCTGCCTGCCAGACGTTCAAAGGGAAAGGGGAGGGAAAAGCCCTGAGGGGGATGTAGGGGAACAGGGTTTCCCTCCCTCTCCCACCGATCGCGTTTTGAACAGTTTCGCCTTTGCATTGAAAAGTTAACTTTGAAAAGGGCTATTATTCCCGGCCTGCGTTTATTGCACACGATCTTTTACGCCCCCTGTCACTCTTGGCAACATCTCCCCGTCTTAGCGGTCTTGCCGCTGGTCGAGGGGACGCGGGCACTGGGTACAGCATTGACAACAGACCCTGTCGACGACACGGCGGCCATTTTGAATTCTGTTATTTCAAATAGCTAGCTACGATGGGATGCTTACGGGGCAAATACATACTAATTTGCCCCATGAGTATCCCATAATAGCTATTTGAAACAATGGAATTCAGAATGGTCGCCATATCGCCGAAAAGGTCCATTTCCAAGGCTGAAACATGCGGCCTCGTCTTTCTTTATGTACAGTAGGCAAGCGAGCGACAAAACTCGATAGCAATCGATTACTTGGTAAACCTCATTGCTTCGCCATCTTAGCTTGAGGCAAACTTTAGTTCGCTCGAAATATACATTGTAAAATACAATCAGGAAATATGGCAATTAACAATTATTTTCCCGCAAGAATTAGAGGATTGGTTTGAGTTTCGACGTAAAATTGTATATTTTTGTTAAGGTTTTCCTGAAGTTTCAATTTATGCCAGTTTGGGGAGGTTATAGACAAATTTAGAAAATAACGCCGGAGCGATTATCGTTTAATACAGTTTTTGTTCACATTGGGATAATTTAAGTTGGCGCGGCGGTAGTGTGGTCCAATGGGGCTGCCAACATCACATCCATTTATTGTAACAAAGTTCCCTCCTCGAGCCCTGTCCCCCCGTAACCAAGGTAACAAGGTCTCACGAGATGTGTATGTTGGAACGATCTATAATTAAGATCTTTATTTTAAACTATGGTGATGAAAAGTTTTTAAACAAAGTTCAAAGTTTAATTAGAAAAAGTACAGGGAATATCGTTCCGGCACGGTCTGGAAATTATACCTTCTTTTTTGTTTCTCTTTTCTGGGGGTAATAACAATTGACGTCATCGGCATGTACTCGAACGTCCGTCACACAAAAAGGAGACACTTCATTTACAAAAAATAGCATAACAAATATTTTAATAACCAAAAAATTAAATGGCATAGCTCGTGAAGCTTCCCGAAAAGATTAAAAGCCATTATTCTTTGTGTAACTGAATATTACGTGTAAGTTCAGTTTTCATCGCAGGAAAGGCTGGGCTAGTTGAGTCAGCGAGAACCGCAAAAATCACCCAGCAGCAGTAGACTAGAGACGCATCGAATTATTTGTTGTTTGTTTTTTAACCATTTGGTGTGGAATATGGGAAAGACTTTAACCATTTTGTTTAAAAGTAGGGCATGTTTTCTGTACTTTGTACAATCCTCCAATGAAACTTGAGGTTCAGTTGCAAGAATCGCGTCGTACACTCCAACTCGAATTTTTTTTTATCACCGCTCCCCGGACTTAGTGGTGGTTTCGGATCTTAGATTTTCGGATTTACAGGGCCACGTCACGGTTTGCGTGTGTTGAAAAATTTAGCCTAGATTTTTCATGTCCTTCGTTTGTAATCCGTGATAATCTTCTCCATCCTTAACCATCCGTGTTCCTTTATGGATCATTTGTTATTATCTCTTAGCAAACTCTTCTATTTTCTGGTTCCTTCAATAAAAGGTAATTTTGTACATCGTCAAAATACCGTGACTGAGCTCCTTTGAAGCAGTGCACCATTTTTGTACCGCGTCAAAACACTGCGAGTCAAAACACTGTTTAGTGAATCGCGGATCATCCAGGTTAACGGTATAATAATGAGGTGAGAATAAAGGATAATAACACAATTTAAACCCTGCACAGTCATCAAGGAAAGCGAAAACGTGTAGTATATTCCAGAATTGTATATTCCAGAATAACCTTTGTAAATTGTTTCTTATTACGTTGTTAATTAATTGTTGGATCGCGTGTTTTACAATCGATATCTTGCTCATCAGCCGACATACTGCGCTTCCTAAACTCGTCAGATAAGTGATGACACAGTAGTTCAACAAGTATTGGTCTATTTTTTTCCTCTGGTCGCGACGCTTCGTAACCGGTTAGGGCGTGGCACACGATTGTTTTTCCTTGAGAACTTTTTACAGTACGTTCTTTTTTAAAATAGCGAGCCATTGACCGTTTTTAGACAAGAAAAAACATACAGACTAGCTCTCTTTGTGATGTTAGACCAGACATAAGGAGGTATTCAAGAATTTCCCGCCATGGACAATCATCCAAACTTCCCGTAGCTGGGTTCCTGCTGTCTCTTGTCGAGTCGTGTTCTTCAAACCACAATTGTTGAACTTCCTGTGCATACAAATTTATAAGCAAAAATTAAGCAAAACAATAAATGAAATATATCATTTAGCGTTCAGTTTTAAGGCTTCTGCTGCATGCTCCGCTACTCGCACATTTCAATACGGCGAGAAGTGTGAAACACAACCCTGGTTTAATCAAGCATGCCGGTTCGGTACAAGAAGGGTGCGCACATGGAATACACACATAGTGATGAGAAAACCCGAAGACCAGTTTGTGGGGCATAGCAAAATCCCGGCATCTTCAAATATTCCCTAATCTGTATCAATATCAGTAAAGAACGCTTTCTTAACGCTTTGCGTGTCAGATGATATTTTTACCGGCAAATTGACCAGATTATTTAAAACAGTTTTGACCATTATACTGTTGAACTAGCTCTTGATCCTAGACAAGCGCATCCGGCTTGACTCGCGCACGGACATCCGTACCGATTACAAAGTAAAATAGCGCCCTAAATCGGTCACGTCCGCTCACAAGGCACGGAATTCGACGAATACAGTGGTTAACCTCAAGCGGAAACGGGACATGCCACAGGGTAACCATGGTTTAAGACGTCCTCAATGAAAAGATTAAAGAGTCTTAATGGCTGTGGCGCTTGAGAACTTACTGTGAACTTTTTCTTAAAACAAAAATAAAATAAAATAAAATAAGAATACGAAAAAATGAAAACCTTCACTAAGTAGAAGTGTAGTTCATCTAAATAGTCACAATAATTTATCGATCCGAATCAAGAAATATAAAAAGATTTGAGGCTATTTTCATACCGGAATGTAAACCGGTCAACTTCATGGTTATGCTGACTCATGCCACTACGCACAGCCCACTCTGATCGCTCTCGATCGGCCTGAATTATGAACTTCAATATTGAATTCGGTGTTCTTTAAGAGCGTGAACATAAACATGTACCCATGACCTTAAAAACATTGCTGATTCAAGATTTTGTTGTCATTTAACGTAGATTTTTATAACTAAACTTGTTATACTGAATTTTACGGTAGGTCTTGGGCGGTTTACCCTCAGTTAATCCATTCCGCTTCGACATTTTAACTTCGACGAACATCAATGTGCCCTAGTGGTAACACGCTGGAATCGTAAGATTCGTTGCAAGAATATAAATGATATTTACCCCGCTATAGTCTATCCCACTGATGTTCATAATTTCTTGTCATGTTTTGGCATAGATCGTTTAAATAGCGAAGGACATTCTCACCATTATTCTCACCATAACCTGCTGTAGTATTCATTGATATTAGATTGGGAATTCATAAAATGGATAGATCTACTTATAATAACTCTTTTGAGGTCATCGGTGTGATACCGGCGTTTTGAATTTTTGAAATTCTGCCATAAAAGAGATGTTGTTTTGACGTTTTCGAGCACAGGAAGTCACTGTTTGCTGATATAGTATCAGCGATTTTAATCCTCAGAGCAACAAGGCCTTATTTGTTACAGTGAAAAACTCTATAACACATCCTATATTTGATATTATGAATTAACGGCGAAGAAAGGTGCCAGTTCCAGGCAAATTGGCCTGTTTGAAGACTGTTGTAAGGTGAGCCTTATGAGGTTGGTTATTGCTATTCCCAAAAGAGATGGGCGTTAACGATGGCTTATGTATTACTCTCTACATAACGCTGTCTTGATCTATGCCCTAAGAGGTAGTTTTTAAGTTTGAGTGTGAAAACTGTCACTACAACTTGCGGTTCGTTTATCACTTCTTTAGCGCCATTTCGTCTGAAGAGCGATTCAGAAACTAAATACCCGCAATTAAGACTTTTTCAGTTGTCAGGGTCTCGAGAGTTCCTTTGTGATCAGTGATAAAATATAATGCTGTTTTCACTTTCAGTATGATGAGGTAACGAATTTTGTAAATATTTCTCTGACATTTGCTACACTTCGTCAAATTAAAAGGGCAGGTGATCAACTGGCGCTAGACCTCGAAACGCTGCCGCGGAAACCCAAGGCTGATCAAATTTGAGTTCTCCAGACTTTCGCCGGATCGAGCCGGTAAGGTTTTATGTACAAGTCAGTAAAAAATTAGACATATAGTGCACTTAATCCTTCACTTTTTCGATAATTTCTTCGCCGTGTCCTTCCAGGGATAATTCAAAGCATGCACAGTCTTTACTTCAAAGGAAAACTGGTGACAGCTTGATCGTCCGCCATTCATGTGAACCGGCTAAGTCTGAGTCTAAAAGCGAACTCGCGGGTATATAGCCTCTCAGTTTTAACGCACCCTTTGATATTTGTAGAAAGGGCTCTTTCTTTCTTCTCGTTTCACCTTCTCTCTAGCTTTACTCATCTTGTGTGTAAGTTAGTCAATTTCATCGCACCAATCTGTACTTATACTTCACAATATACCATCTTTTAAAGCCGTCTTGGCCACTGCGGTTTCCTTCTTCACTGCAACAAAAATAACTCGGCACGGCGAATTCTTTTTTTTTTTTTTTTACCGTACTTTGATATGAAAAATAAAAAGAACTATATAACGGAAACTTTAAGAGAATTCTTTAATACAGAATGCGGAATGGTACATTTGTAATGCACACGTTGGCTTGAAATCTCACCAGAATTTCGATAGAACCTCCGAATAGGCCAGTTCACACGTTCAGTTGCTTATCTCCACCCAGCAATGGTCTTTAAACTAGTCGATGTAATCCTGAATCAGCGAAAGAGATAGGGAAACATTCAGCTTTCTTCAGCCGCGTTTCTGTGCGGTGAGAGACAGTTGTAGACCGTTCATACTGCTGATTGACGATTGTGGACTACAGGCTGTTTTTAACTAATATGGCCGCCATTCCCATTTCCATTACCGAGAGTTAACCGTAAACAGGCTAACCTGAACGCTATTCATGAATGATAATTCAGGCTACCCGTCCTGATACTCAGGCTAACCAGAGCGCTACTTATAATTATAGACCTGTAAATGTAGTCTGCAGTC